CCCCCCCCCACCCCCCCCCCCCCCCCCCCCCACCGATAGTTGTGCTGTGCAAAGGCACGCCTCATGCTGCACATGGCACCCACCCAGCCACCCCTTCCAAACGCGTGAACGCGGGAAACATGCAAAACTGAATCGAAGCCAGAAGGAATCCGTCGAGAACCAGGCCTTTTCGTCCGCTCGCATGCTGGCATCCAAGTCCCGCCACACCACACAAAAGAACGCCAGGCCAGAGACGCAAGAACATGCGTTGCCAATCACCCAGCCGCATAGTCTTTGCGAACAAAAGGATAAAGCGCCTAGTCGAGACCATCTGCGCCGTCCATGTCTACATCTTCATTATCAGCCACCTTCCTGGGCTCTTCAAGATCCTTCTTGAACGCCGCCTTCTTGGCATCCACGTCGTCCCGGCTAAGATCCTTCATCCAGGTGTTGTTCCTGACGAGAATGTCTTGGACCCTCTCTCTCCGCTCGTCGTTGAGCTTCTTGTACTCTTCAGCGGGGTTGGGAACGGCCTCGCTGAGACCCGCGCGCACGGCGTCTGGTTGCAGGAAGTATTGAACACCGCCTGTGCCGAAGGGTTCGCTGTTGATAAAGGTCATGATGTAAGCGGCGGGGCTGATGGAGACGGTGATCTTGTCGCTGTGCTTGACGTGGTCGAAGCGTTCTTCCTCGGTGAGATCTTCGGCTCGGGCGAGACGCTTCTTGAGGTACGGGTAGTTGACACGGGAGAGGTCGACTTCTTCGGTGGGTTCCACGGCCATGTACGAGGCGACGTATGCTCGCCAGCGCTTGATCCGGTCGAGCGTGGTGAAATCAAAGGTCGGGTCGTCCTTCTTGAAAAGCCGCACGTGCGCCCACATCTTGGCGGGGTTCTGTAGAAACATCAATACATGATCTATAAGAGGGAGGTGGTGTTGACTTACGTAGGTGATGCGGTAGGTGTCAGCGTCCTTGGCGAGCTTCTCCACAGCCTTGCGATAGCTAATCTCGTTCTTGTGAGTTGTGGTGTCGTTGACACGATCCTTCCTGAAGAGGTTGTAGATATCAAGGCTCTTATCCTTGTTATCATGACTGACAACAGCAAGAGCGAATCGGACAAGCGAGCTCAAGAGCCTGTCGAACGAGTACAACTGCCACCCGATCTGCAGGTAGTACCTTCGTAAAGTCTCCTCGATAAAGTTCATCTCTACTTCGCCAGAGATTTGATCCTGGAACATTTCGAGAAGCTGTTGGTAGTAGTTTGCTGATGGCGATGTGTCTTTGAAGAAGTCGTCGGGCTGCTTGTCGAGCATCTTGAGCTTCTGCGCTGCCTTTGGCTCCTTGGCGCGCGCGATGACTTCTCGTACCTCCTCTTCGCTGTCCTTGAGCTTCAACAGCCTCTCATAGAGCATGACGAACATGCGGAAGAAGCAGTAAATCGAAGCGTTGGAGTACATGTTGTACTCTACGCGTTGGTAGGGCTCTTCGTGCTCAAACTCTCTGTCGCCGAAAGGCGTGGGAGCATCGGTATATTCTACCCATTGCCTCTCTGGTCGATCTGCGCGAGGATTGGAGTTTGAGCTGTCACCAGCAGCTTCCTCGTCCATAGCGGATGCATCTGGAGTACTGTCCCGGCTCGCCGACGCAACACTGTCTTCCTTGTCCTTCCGTGACTTGTTGTTGGGATCAAGAACATTGCGGCGGAGGTCCCCCTTCTTCATTTTCTGCGAACGTTGAGAAACATCATCGTCTGGAGAGGGCGTATCCTCGCCAGAATCGTTTGGCGTATCGCGTGGCGAGGTTTGTACCCGCTGCTCGAACTTGGCAGAATCGATGCCAAAGAAGAGAGGAACGAATTCCTTGATAAAAGGTACGACCTTTGCAAAGTCGGCACTGTTATTGTTGTCCGCGAAAGTGAGCATCAATCGAGCCACGTCGAATAGTACCTCTTCATCCCGGAAGGAAAACGCAAACTGGTAGTCCGGCTGCGATATCTCTTGGATCTGCTGGAGTCGCTTCTGCTCTTCGTATCTGACCTGGATCTCATTCGTGAGGGACTTGGGCTGGAACTGTCGCTTGTCGGCCTGCTTGACGGTGATGCTCTGGTGATCCAGCGACTTCCAGAAGATCTTCTGGGTCTGATCGCGCCAGACCTTTTCCCATTCACGCTGTGCGGCCTTCCAATCCTCTAGCTTAGTCTTCAAGCGGTGGAGGAGTACGGGGACGACGCTCCAGGGCATTTGGAACAGTTCCTTAATCACGTCCTTTCCCCTGTCACGGCCATAGATCTTCATGATGACTCGTTTGTAGATCGTCTCACTCTGTCCACCAAGTCCAGGTGGCAATGTGAATCCCTGTCTGTCCTCTGGCTTCATCGTGAGCAGCTGGTTGGCGATAGGCTCCAACTGTTGGATCGTGCGGCTGCAGGCCTCGATGTTGAAGTCATAGTCGTGGCGCTCTTCCTCGATTCTGTGCAAGCCCTCCTCGAAAGTGTTCTTGCGATGGGCAACGAAACCAGAATCCTCGGAGGCCCAGGTCGGGTGAGATGCCCACTCGTCGTTCAGAACAGATCTGCAGAGTTCGTCGCGTCCACTACACACGCGTTCTCGTTCGCGCCTTGGGAGCAAGCGATAGCTAGGACCAAGACTGCGGCAGTTCGATAATGAGACACGCGAGTTGACAGTCTTAGGGCGGTACTTTTGCTGCTCTTCGTCCTCGCCCATGAACTTCTTGAACCAAGCATAGAGTTCCTGATTTCCGCCGATGAAAGATCCGGCGCGAGACAGTAGCAACTGCTTATCGATTAAGTCTTGCGAGTAGAGGTTGCAGAGCTTCAAGAACTCGTTCATCGTGTTCTTGTTTCCAATGAACTTCTTGACCCGGTCAAAGAAAGCAAGCTCATCCTGGCTGGGTGTTGTGGTCGTCGTCGGTGGCATTGGCTCAGGTAGCGCAGGAGTCAGAGTGGGTGATACCGGTGGTCCATCGGGAATTGCCTGCTTTGCGCCATGTCCGGTCTTTGCGCGCTTCAACATGTTAGTTGATAATCTTTTGTGATGCTCTATTGCATTCGAAGGAAGGCCCATTTTCATCTCTGGTGGGAAGAGAGCTAAACAGTACCCCACCATCAAACATAGTGATGATAGTCTCGATGACAATGATTGTGATTTGGTGGGGTTGAGATGGAAATAGAGTATGACCAAAGAAAAGAATTGAAAGGGTTGGGGCAGAGGACCATGGAGATGCACGTGCCTCTATAAAGAAAAACAACGTGACCTAACCCGGCCCGTGATAGTGTAGAATCATGTACGTACCTTGTTGACATTGCCCTGGTTGTATCCGCCCCGAACGTTTGAGGTTGGCATTTCTTGCGACATGGGCGCAGGCATCGGCGCAGCCACAGGTCCTTGTCGCTCGCGTTTCCTCTTGTTGTCGCGGTTCGCTGTAGGTGTAGGTGCAAAGTTGCCCATCGGAGGCAATCGAGATGTATCGGCGCGTCCGGGCGTTTGTTGGTTTGCAGCGGCTCCGTATCCTGATTCACCTCGAACATTGCTGAGCATGACTGCGTCTTCAGCCGCGTTCTTGGCGGCCTGCTGTTGCGCTCTGTGTTGAGCAGCGGACTCCGGAAGGAACTGCTTGAAATCCTCGAGGAGATCGGGCGCGCCACCAAACAGGTGGGTGACTTGAGCGTATACGTCCTGGATGGGCTTCGACTCTCTCTGGTACGTCTGCAGTATCTCCAGGAAGTTTTTGTAAATGTCTGGGTGAGCTGCGAATCGGTTCTACAATACTGTTAGCATTTTGGGCTTCAACCTCACATTGAAAAATGGTACCTTGATCTTGTTCACGTAGCTAATCGCATGGTTGAACTCTACCGGCCCTCTCTTCTCTGCTGCAGCCCCGCCCATCTGTGGGAGCTGAGCAGCACCGTTCATGGCCTGTCCTTGTAACGATGCACCCGGATCAACGCTGGGTGACATCATTGAGCGGCCAGTAGCAGCAGATACTGCGTTCTGTAACTGCGAAACGCCTCTCTGCTCTTGCTGGTGAGCTAGCGCTGCAGCTCCAGCAGGGTCAGGATGAGGACGCGATGTGACCTCTGGCGAATGAGGCGCTGGGCCCTGCTGTCCTTGGGGACCGTACAATGGCCCTCCGAGAGTACGGTTGTTGGGTGAAAACATCGATTCTTGTCCCTCAGGACCCTGTGCTCTCTGTTGTTGAGGCCATGGGCGTCCTTGGGCAGTCTCGTAGTAGGTGCTCTCGTGTTGCGGGCCGTTGTTACCGTTAACAGCACCGCTGCGTGGCGGTGAAAGCGGCCTTGGAGCGGGCATAGTCGATACCATGGTTCCCATGGGCGTGGTTACTCTGATAGCGTTTGGGTCGCCGTTGGTACCACACTCGATCTTGTAGCCGGGTGGCAGAAATGTGTTGAAGCCTTGGATCAAGGCCGGGTTGCCCGCAAACAATGTCGATACCCTCTCGATGACGCCCGGGGTATCAATAGCACCACTCTTGAAGTCCTTCATGATATCGAGGAATCGGTTGTACACGTCGGGGTGGTCGGCGAACTGGACCTTGACCTGGTCGAGATAGCTCAAGGCGTCGTTGAGGATCGGCTGCTGTCCCTGGCCCATAGCCATTGATCCTGGAGGGCCAGCAAAAGGCATCAACATCTGGGCCTGGGTAGGTGCCTG